ACACGGAGACGGCTTGCGATGGGTGATCTCCACCCCCTCCCCCAAGTCACTCGTCCGTCCGTCTGTCCGTCCGTCCGTCCGGCGTTCGGTTCCTGGGGATTGGATGCTAATCGAGTCGTTCGCCTCGCTCACGTCCGCGCTAACGGAGAGAGAAAACCTAGCTGGGATTCGGGGTGAAATGGTGGCTTTGGTTTCCTTGGGATTTTATTTTATTCTATTTTAAGATATATTTTATTGATTTTTTACAGAGAGGAAGGGAGAGGGAGAAAGAGTTAGAAACATCGATGAGAGAGAAACATGGATCAGCTGCCTCCTGCACGCCCCCCACTGGGGATGTGCCTGCAACCAAGGTACATGCCCGTGACCGGACTCGAACCCGGGACCCTTGAGTCCGCAGGCCGGCACTCTATCCACTGAGCCAAACCAGTTAGGGTGGGATATTATTTTTAAGGTTGGAATGAGGGTCAGCTTTTTCGTCTTAAACAAGCGAAAGTGACCTACGATGTGCTTTTAAATGCGGGGAGCACGTTTAATTGGGCGGAAATGAAGTGGACCCCGAAGGCCGGTGAATTATTCATCGGTGGGAACCCAGGGCCTGAGTGGTCCCTGGATACCCACCCATCCTTTGCCTTGAGAAACGGGCGGGTGGCTTAATTATTGTCAGAGAATAGCGCCTGGCATACAATTATACTGAGTGAGTGTCTGAAACGTATTGAACAGCCCCTCTCAGGGGATTATAAGTAATTTGTCTCTCTATCTAATCTGTCTACCTATCTATCTACCTGTCTATCTACATGCCAGCCTATCTATCTATATGTCTGTCTGTCTGTCTATCTGTCTATCTATCTATCTATCTATCTATCTATCTATCTATCTATCTATCTATCTATATCTATATGTCTGTCTATATGCCTATCTATCTATCTGTCTATCTATCTATATGCCTATCTATCTATATGTCTATATGCCTATTTATCTATCTATCTATCTATCTATCTATATGTCTATCTATCTTACTACCTACTTACCTGCCTACCAGTCTGTCTACCCTCTACCCATCCATCCATCCATTCATCTATTCGTCCATCTATGTCTCTATGTATCTATTTATCTATCTGTCTATCATCTGTCTATCTATCTATTTATCTATCTATCTATCTATCTATCTATCTATCTATCGATCTATCCATGTACCTACCTATCAGTCTATATGTCTGTCTGTCTATATGCCTATCTATCTATCTACCTATCTATCTATCTATCTATCTATCTATCTATATGTCTGTCTATCTTACTACCTACTTACCTACCTACCAGTCTGTCTACCCTCTACCCATCTATCCATCCATTCATCTATTCATCCATCTATGTCTCTATGTATTTATTTATCTATCATCTATCTATCTATCTATCTATCTATCTATCTATCTATCTATGTACCTACCTATCAGTCTATCTACCCATCTATCCATCCATTCATCCATCCGTGTAAATATGTGTCTATTTATCTATCTATGTATCTATCGATGTATTTATCTATCTATATATACTAGAGGCCCAATGCACAAAATTCATGCAAGGGGCTCTGCCCCCACCACTGTAGCTTCGTCCGGAAGGTTGTCTGGAAGGACATCTAGTCTAATTAGCATATGACATTTTTATTATTATAGATATTATAGATACGTATCTATCCATCTATCTGTCTTTCTATCTACCTACATATCTATCTATATATCTGCGTGTCTATCTATCATCTATCTATCTACTAATCTATCTATATATCCATCCATCCATCCATCCATCCATCCATGTATCTATGTATTCGTCTACCTGTCTGTCTATGTATCTATGTATCTATCTACACAGCAATCTCTCTACATATCTATCTATCTATCTATCTATCTATCTATCTATCTATGTATCTATCTATCTATCTATCTATCTATCTATGTATCTATCTATCTATCTATCTGTCTGTCTATCTACTGATCTGTCTATCTACTGATCTATCTATCTATCCATCCATCTACCCAATCATCTGTCCATCCATCCATCCACCATCCATCCATTTATCCATGAATATCTATCGTCTTTAGAAACACAAGTGACATGGTTTCTGTGCCTCCCCCCGCACCCCCCCCACTCCCATTCCCCCTCCTCCCAGAAAATTCTGGATTCTACATTCTGCATTTAGTTTTTGACTGTATGTTGCTGTGGATTAGGTGTTCGGCGATGATGTGTAGACCTGGCTTGCATGATGTAACACTTTGCAGAAAGGGTACATCGTCCACAGCCTTCTAGTACCTCCCCTTACCCCCCCCCCCCAATTTGTGCTGTGGGTTTTTGCACGCCAGGACGTCTGCGGTGGATTGGCTGGCCCTGCTGCACAGGCTTTCCTTGCATGGAGAGCCGACACCTGAATTTGCGCCTCGGTTAATGGAAACTAAATCTCTTTGTCGTTTTCTCCTGGGTTGGACGTGCCTCGAGGAACCTTCCCGGGGGTGTCATTCCGGACACAGACCTGGGTGCTTCTTGACCATCCATGTATATAAAGGCCCAAGCGACCGTCCGACCGTTTGACCGTCCGACCGGCCGCTATGACGCGCCGTGACCACCAGGGGGCAGATGCTCGACGCAGGAGCTGCCGAGCTGCAGTGATGGATGTATGTGTGTGTGTGTGTGTGTGTGTGTGTGTGTGTGTGTCTGAAATATATATTATGGATGGAAAACTTCCATTCATTCTATGCACAAAGTACAATATCAACTATGGCTTTTCTATTTGCGGGGTTCGTTTATTATCGGTTGTTAAAGTTATGGCTGAAGAATTTATTTCATAATTTTTTAAAAATATATTTTTATTGATTACAGAGAGCAAGGGAGAGGGAGAGAGAGAGAGAAAGAGAAACATCCGTGATGAGCCGTGGACAGACAGGCTAGCGCAGTGGTTCTCGACCTTCCTAAGGCCGCGACCCTTGAATACGGTTCCTCATGCTGTGGGGACCCCCAATGTCATTGTGACAAGTTGGACATCATGAAAGCACAGTCATTCATCCCAAAAACCATCTGTAAGTATAGATGTGTTTTCCGACGGTCTTGGGCGACCCCTGTGACACGGTCGTGCGACCCCCAGAGGGGGCGCGACCCACAGGTTGAGAACCGCCGTTCTAGATGTTTCTAGAGCATCGTCCCTATTCCGTTGCAATGGGTCATGTTTTCTTCCGACACAACCCTGCTTCCTGCGTCTGCTCACAGCCCTCCGTCAGGGAAGGAGGCGAAGACCTGTGTCCCAAGTGGGGGAACAGGACATAAGATGCCCGTCGATAATAAAAAAAATAAGAAATAAAAAAAAAGTGCCCAGCCCGTTTGGCTCGGTGGAGAGAGCATCGGCCTGCGGACGGAAGGGTCCCGGGTTCGATTCCGGCCAAGGGCATGAACCTTGGTTGCGGACGCGTCCCCAGTGGGGGGCGTGCAGGAGGCAGGTGGTCGATGTTTCTCTCTCATCCATGTTTCTGACTCTCTGTCCCTCTCCCTTCCTCTCTGTAAAAAATCAATAAAATATATTTTTAAAATAAAAACATGATAATGAAACTTATTAAAAGATTTATGCATAGATATGGGTCAGCAGTGGCGTGCGGACCCCTGAACCAGGAGGTCGGGGTTCGATTCCCGAAGGTCAAGGGCACGTGCCCCTGTTATGCCCTCGATCCCCAGTAGGGGGCGTGCGGGAGGCGGCCGATCCAGGATTATGTGCTATTCCATACATAACCCTAGACTGGGTCCTTGATGAATCCATAGAAAATGTACAATTTTTAGTGATAAACCTGTGTTTTCCATCAAAATTACTTCTTGCGTGAATTTTGGGACGCCCTTATCTCTCCCTCCCTCGCCCTTCCTCTCTGAGATCTTTCCAAATAAACGTGAAATAAAAAGCAAAGACACCCCGAGATGATACGTCTCGCGTCCCGGGCTCGGGGTGCCCGGCTGGGTCGGGCTGGGCCGAACCCACACCCCCCATCCCCATCCCCACCCCCAGCCCCGCGTCTCTCTCTGGCGGCCGCGGGCCTTTTCCTTCCTGCGTTCCGTTCCCCGCCGCCGTCCGGAATGCGTCTGCCGGGGTCCGGGGTCCGGTCGATGCCGGGCCGATGGATAAAAATCGTATGTTCCAGGCAGTTCAGACGGCATTGATCGGGGAGCAGAGGTGATCCCCTATTGATCGGGGGAGTGTCGGCCCTCTTGGCCCTGGGAGAGGCGGACAGAAGTCACACGTGGTCCCGGGCCCGAGGGTGCGTCCGGGAGCCACTTAATTCTGCCAACGGCCCGTCAGGGGCCCTCATCGGCCGGCCCGTCAGCAAAAGCTGAGAGCAAGTAAATGAGGGGCCGTGAGGGCGCCCCATCTCCTCAGTCAGCTGGCCTCCTTTATAAACACCTGATTCGATGCACCCCGGCCTTCGTGATTGGAGACAGGGACAGGCGGCCTGGGCCAAAGCCAACTGGGGATTTCCCGGTAACGGACGGACGGACGGACGGACGGAAGGAAGGCAGGAAGGAGTAGAAACCCATCTCTCTGTCTCACCTATTTCTCTCTCACTATTTCTTGCAAGGAAAAGCGTCATGGATGGTTTCCCCCCGCGATCATCCCTGGAAAAAATACTGCCTGGCCCCGGCCGCTGTGGCTCAGTGGTTAGCGCGTCGGCCTGCGGACCGAGGGGTCCCGGGTTCGATTCCCGGTGAAGGGCCCGTGCCCGGGATGTGGGCTCCATCCCCAGGAGGGGGCGTGCGGGAGGCCGCTGATTCGTGATTCTCATCGTTGATGTTTCTCTCTGTCTCTGAAATCAATAAAAATATATATATATATATTTTTAAATATATTTCTTTATTGATTTCAGAGAGGAAGGGGGAGAGAGAGAGGGAGGGAGAGAAACATCCATGATGAGAGGGAATCATGGACCGGCTGCCTCCTGCACGCCCCCCACTGGGGATGAGCCCGCAACCCGGGCCTGTGCCCTTGACCGGGAATCGAACCCGGGACCCTCCGGTCCGCAGGCCGACGCTCTATCCACTGAGCCACACCGGCCAGGGCAATAAAAATATATTTTTTTAAAAAAAAGAAAGAAAAAGAAAAAGAAAAAGACTGCCTAATGACAGAAGGTCCTTTAAAAGAACCCGGGGGCTGGTAGGAGGGACACGGGTTGACGAGAAAAGCCGGCGGAAAGGGGCGTCGTTTGGGGTCAGTGATTTAAGAGGCGTGTGGCGTGGCCGCGACCGTTATACCTTGGGGAGCAGCCAGAAAACGCTGAAGACGGGAGGATTGCAATGTGATCAGGGCTCCGGGGATGAATAGCTTGCCGGGATGGGGGGTGGGTGGCGGACAAAAAAAATCATTGCGTGGAATGTGGTCCAAAAATAATGGCAGAGTTTCGGCGACGGAGTAAAGAGTGTTAACGAACGAACAAATGAGTCTCCAGCCCCATGCGGGATGGGGTTTGACCCTGATGCTGGTTTTTGTTTAATTTAATTTTTTTTTTTTTAATTACAAGACAGATCCCTGGCCGGGCTGCCCAGTGGTTAGCGCCTCGGCCTGCGGGCTGAGGGGTCCTGGGTTCGATTTGCCGAGCCCCTTGCACGAATGTCATGCATCGGCCCTCTAGTCCATGTATATCAAAGCCCAAACCACCGTTACGACCGAACGACCAGGCCAGCCGGTCGACCGGTCGCTATGACGCGCACTGACCACCAGGGGGCAGACGCTCAACGCAGGAGCTGCCCCCGGGTGGTCAGTGTGCCCTCGTGGCCGGCCAGCCTCCCCTGGTCCCCCACCCCCACCTGCTCCTCCTCCCAGCTGCCAGGCCCCGATCAGTCCGGCCCCAATCGGAACTGGACGAGACGGCCTCGATCGGCCCAGATCGCCGGCCAGGCCAAGGGACCCACCTGTGCACGAATTCGTGCACCGGGCCGCTGGTATTTAATATTTCGGAACTATTTTTCTTTCAGCATTTTCCGCACTTACAGAAAATTGGCAGAAATAATGCATAGAATTCCTGCATCCGTCACACCTCGATTCACCAGTTATTTATATTTCGTGCTTTTTTCATTCTCCCCCCCCCCCCTCTCTCTCTCTCTCTCTCCCTCCCTCCGTCCTTGTTCCGGCTGAAAACAGACGTTGTCAGACGTAGGAACGGGAGTTGTCTGCTCAGCATATTGAGAAACGGCCCTGGCCGGTGTGGCTCAGTGGATAGAGCGTCGGCCTGCGGACCGAAGGGTCCCGGGTTCGATTACCGGTCAAGGGCATGGACCTTGGTTGCGGGCACATCCCCAGTAGGGGGCGTGCAGGAGGCAGCTGATCCGTGATTCTCTCTCGTCGATGTTTCTAACTCTCTATCCCTTTCCCTGCCTCTCTGTAAAAAAATCAATAAAATCTATTTTTTTAAAAAAAATGATGAGAGAGAATCATGGACCGGCCACCTCCTGCTCGCCCCCTACTGGGGATGGAGCCCGCCACCCGGGCACCGGCCGTTGACCGGGGATCGAACCCGTGACCTCCTGGTTCGCCGGCCGGCGCTCACCACTGAGCCGCACTGGCCGGGCTGTTCATTTTTATTTTTTTTGTTTTCTTCCTTCTTTTCCGTTTGACCCGCTGTGCGCACTGCATTAGCACGTTTTGAATTACATAAAAGGGCATTTTCTTTTAAAAAAAAAAATATATTTATATATATAAGGTGGTTTTCCTATAACATCGACAAGGCCTGGGTTGAAATGAGTCTTCATAAAGGGTGTCCCAAAATTCACGCAAGAAGTCATTTTGGTAGAAAACACAGGTTTATAATGAAAAATTGTGAATTTTTTACGGATGCATAACGTAGACAGTCTAGGGTTGTGTACGGAATAGCCCATCGGGTCAGCGGCCTCCACGGCTTTGCTGGCACAGACGCCCTCTTTGGTTGAAGCCTTCCACGCCCGTTTTGCATACATGTGGCTGAATGTCGTTGCTACAGGGCTCAGCGTCCTCCTTCAAGGCGTGGGTGGTCGGGGGCCCGTCGGCATACACTCTATGCTGTTCCATACCTAACCCTGAACTGTATACTTTATGCATCCATGAAAAATTTACCATTTTTCATCATAAACCTGCGTTTTCTATCAGAATGACTTCTTGCGTGAATTTTGGGACGCCCTTTTACAAATGCTTGAAAACCACGTCTTCTCGCTCCCTATCCCTTCGCCACTTGGTAAGGGCTTTTGTCCAAATACAGGGAGAGAGGGAGACGGCGTGGAAAGGAGGGCGGCTCCCCCCCGAGTTCCTCGATGAGAGAGACGCGCGTTCGACGATCCCTCCCCCCCTGAGGAATATTCTGAATGAATTGGACCTAGGCAGCCGGCCCTTAGCAATGAACTCACCCGTATTTCGTCTTGTTTTCATTTAATTTTTAATTTTTTTACATGCAATAGACATTAATATTTCAAGTAAACATTACTATTTCAAGAAAAACCATCTCGCCCGGGCCAGTTCGGCTCAGCGGCTAGCGCGTCGGCCTGCGGACTGAAGGGTCCCGGGTTCGATTCCCGTCCAGGGCATGGACCTTGGTTGCGGGCACATCCCCGGCGGGGGGCGTGCGGGAGGCGGCTGATCGATGCTCCTCTCTCATCGATGTTTCTAACTCTCTATTCCTCTCCCTTCCTCCCTGTAAAAAAAATCAATAAAATATATTTAAAAAAATATTTCAAGAAACAACACCAATATATATAAAAGCCCAGCGACCATTATGTCGGAACGACCGGGACGACCGCTCGCTATGACGCGCACTGACCACCAGGGTGCAGACGGTCAACACAGGAGCTGCCCCCCCCCCCCCGGTGGTCAGGCAACTCCCCCAGCTGGCCAGCCGGTTTCGGCCCGATCCCCGCAGGCCAGGCCCAGGGACCCCACCGGTGCACGAATCCGTGCACCGGGCCTCTAGGACATAAATAAAAGACGAGGCAGGCTCGTCGCTGCTCCCTGGGGTGTGTGTGATGAGGCACATTTCCAGAGGAGCAGACGGGAGAGGGCGGGAGACGGCGCGGCCGCTGGGCTGCGGGCCAGGGCTCTGGTCATTGTACTTGCAGATGAGCTAATAATTATTGGAGATCCTGTGCTAATCAGCCAAAGCTTGCAAGCGGCTGCTGACAGGCGCTAGCGGGTAATTACTGGGAAGTGCGGAATTTGCATACTTCCACGCGCTGATCCTCGTCTGCGAGGCTCTCTCTCTGGTTACGGGCTTGGAGGGCGAGGCTCCGTGGTTGAGCGTCCACCTAGGTCCCGGATTCGATTCCCGGTCAAGGGCACATGCCCGGGTTGCGGGCTCGATGCCCAGTAGGGGGGGGCGTGCAGGAGGCGGCCAGTCCCTGATTCTCCTGTTATCTCGTCGGCAACAACCGCTTCTAGTTATTATGTCTCAAGGGCCCAGACCTACAGCCCGGATTCCCTCCGGCCCTGGCTCCGTCCGGAAGGACGACCGGAATGACGTCCGGAAGGGCGTCCGGTCTAATTAGCATATTACCCTTTTATTATTATAGACTAGAAGCCTGGTGCATGAAAATTCGTGCACTGGGTTGGGGTGGGGGTCCCTCAGCCCAGCCTGCTGCCCCTGCTCACAGTCCGGGAGCCATGGGGGATGTCCTACTGACGGCTTAGGCCCGCTTCCCGCAGGGAGAGCGCCGAAGCCACAGTCTGGCGACCAGACCAATCAGGGGAAGGTGCAGCCCCCATCACCCTGCCGCTGCCGCCGCCGCTGGTCGCCGCTGCTGCCTGCCCTTTGCCCTTGCAGCCGCCGCAGCTTTTTCCGGAAGGAATTCGGCTGTCCGGTCTATTTAGCATATTATGCTTTTATTATTATAGGTTATTATAGACTGAGAGTCAGCCCTACCCAGCTGGGCTCAGTGGATAGAGCGTCGGCCTTCGGATCATAGGGTGCCAGGTTCGAATCCTGGTCGAGGGCACAGGCCCGGGTTGCTGGCTCGATCCCCAGTGGGGGGCATGCAGGAGGCAGCCGGTCCATGATTCTCTCTCCTCCTGGATGCTTCTCTCTCTCTCTCTCCCTCTCCCCCTTCCTCTCTGAAATCAGTAAAGAAATATATTTGAAATAATAATAATTGAGAATCGCTTTCGCTGTGAGCCAGGCCTCTGGGTTCTGTGGTGGGGTTTTTTTTCTGCTGTCGCTGAACGTCTGGGTAGAATAAGAGGGATCATGGGTGTGGGTTCGGGGGGAAGAGCAGGAAGCAGACGGTCCGCTGTTTTAAGCATCGATTCTGTGCAGAAATGGACGCTGAGGCTGGTCTGCGGATCACCGACCCCCAGGACCATTTAGCAGGCGGTTGATCGGACGGTTTGGGGACGGGCCGTACGGGAGAATCGGGGTTTTTCTCTGTCATCTGGGACATCTGAGAGTCGCCAACCGAAGAGCCGGGTCGTCCCCTGCAGGGGGTCCTTTGTGTGGGGGGCTGTTTGGTCTGGGATTTTGTCCTGTGATGCCAGGCGCGGACCCATCAAAGCGTTCTTCCCTGTGATCGGGGTGCCCCCTGGGCCCTCCGTCAGGAGAGGGATGGGGCGGGCCTGTGTGATGTCCGCCTTCATCCATGTCTTAACAGAGAAAGGCATGCGGGCCCTTTGGTGTCTGGGTTCTGAGACAGACGCCCATGGGCACCCCCCAGAAGTTTCTGGGGCGCCTGACGGGGGTGCAGTGAGGAAGCCAGCCGGCCGACGGCGTCATCAGACGGCCTTGCAGCAGAGGGACTCAAGCTAGAGATGTCAGGGATGAGAGAGAATCATGGACCGGCCGCCTCCTGCATGCCCCTGACTGGGGATCGAGACCGCAACCCGGGCCTGTGCCCTTGGCCGGGAATCGAACCTGGGACCCTTCAGTCCGCAGGCCGACGCTCTATCCACTGAGCCACACAGGCTGGGGCAGAGCTTGCCTTTTATTTATTTATTTTTTAAATGTATTTTATTGATTTTTTTTTTACAGAGAGGAAGGGAGAGGGATAGAGAGAAATATCAGTGAGAGGGCAGCATTGATTGGCTGCCTCCTGCACGCCCCCTACAGGGGATAT